ACAAAGCACTGCTCTGTACTTACTCATTCACTACCTGGAAGTGTGGGGAGTTAATACCTATGGAGCAACCTCTCACCAATATGGAAGCTGGTTCTAAGATTCATTGCATAAGGCTCCTTGGAAGTTTCAGTACAATTCAGTACTAGTCACTCATGGAGTGGCTAACCTAAAAATGCATCACTTCTTTTCTGCATATACCTCTTTTCTGTACTGACAATGTGAAAGAATACAGGCATGTTCTGAGAACAGGGAATAAACCATCAGAAGAATGATTGGGGCAAGATGAGAAAGATAAACTGGGCCTGAAATCCTTTATGTTTGCAGACAAGCTCAAAGACAAGAGGGAAGTCCTTACATATTTTTGTGTTAAGACATAAACATGATCAAGGAACTATAACCAATTATCAGGTCAGAGAGTGGAGAGTATCAGCCACTGGATCAATCAGGAGGTCAGCTGCATGAAATCCGTGTTAAGGACAAATAAGGAAAAAATTCTGCACATGATGGAAAGAAAAATCACTCGACCTTTAAAAAGGTACGCTGGTGCAGGGTGGGAATCAAGGGTGGTGGTGAGGTTTCCTGACTGGTTGACTGGCAGAAATATTAGTCCTCTTAAAATGCTAGTATTTAATACTCTTAAAAGGTATGTGGGAAGAGGAATAAAAACAAGGGATTTGGTTTCAGATACATATCCAGTTGAGGTAGTAAAATGCATTTCAAATGAAGGTTTGGAAGAGGTTATCAGAAATAGATCACCAGAGTTTAGCCTAGGACAGCCTCAAGGCTGACAGCCTCAATGTCCTCAATAGGCTCCTGGAAACTGCAACTTCAAGATGTAAAAGAAAATCAACTTTCTTTTCTCATCAATGTTATAATGAAACAACAGTGAATTAAAATGACATTATTTGATGTCATTTCACTTTAAGTTACAGTTTCCAAGAACCTGTTAATGACATTAAGTAAGGACTTACTGTATTTAATGTCAGTTGCTGACAGCCCAAAGTTATCAGCCAGAGCTTTGCAGGTAGATGAGATTTCCAACAGATAAAGCAAAGAGATCAAGTTCAAATAGTATGCCTTAGAGAATATCTTTATTTAAAGAAGACGGAGGGAGGAAAAAGAAGAAAAAGGAAACAAATTCTTAGATTTCGAGAGCCAGGAAGCAAGTAAAGCATCACAGACGGTCAGGTTAGGGTGAGCTACTAACTAGATGCCAGATATTTTCAGACATATTGTTGCATTTGATACTCAAAAAAACTTAAGAGCTGTTTTAAGTTTCAACACAAGAAACTGGGGCCAAATGGGCTTCATTATTTTGCCAAGTTCATACAGCTGAGATGGATTCTTAAAAAGCAGGAAATTAACCGTGTCAAATGAGAACGAAAACGATCCCTAGATTGAGCAATTTGCTAAGTTACAGGTATCCTTCAAAAACGGAATTTGTGGTTGCTCATTCCTATAAACCCAGCACTTTGGGAGGCCAAGGCAGGAGAATTGCTTGAGGCCAAGAGTTCAAGGCAACATGGGTAACATACTGAGACCTCATCTTTACAAAAAAATTAAAATAAATAAAATTAGCCAGGTGTGGTGGCATGCACCTGTAGTCCCAGCTACTTGGGAGGCTGAGGTGGGAGGATCACTTGAGCCCACGAGTTTGAGGTTGCAGTGAGCTGAATGTGCCACTTAACTCCAGTCTGGGCAACACAGCAAGACCCTGTCTTTAAAATTAAAAAAAAAAAAAGAATTTCAAGAAAAAGGCAGGGACTGAAGCCAGACAACAATATACTAAAGCAAACTGAAAAAGCAGCAAATCCCCTAGTTAGAAGTTTCATATACAAAACTGAAGAAACTAACATGGCTGGGCACGGTGGCTCATGCCTGTAATCCTAGCACTTTGGGAGACCGAGGTGGGCAGATCACCTGAGGTCAGGAATTCAAGAGCTGCCTGGCAAACATGATGAAACCCCATCTCTACTAAAAATACAAAACCAAAAAAATCAGCTGGGCATGGTGGCACACACCTGTAGTCCTAGCTACTCAGGAGGCTGAGGTTGCAGTGAGCCAAGATTGTGCCACTGCACTCCAGCCTGAAAAAAAAAAAAATGAAACTAAGAGACAAATAAGAATGAATGACTTTTTTTTTCTTTCCTAAAATAGGAGAAACATATGAACATGTGTATGCAGATATAAAGGAAACAATGGGAAGGGAGAGAATAAAGGCACTGAGGGAGGAGGTTAGAAGAGAACAGGAAGATGGACGCAGAGAGGAGGTTCGCAAAGGATGAATTTTGTCCAAAACATGAAAAAGGCAGAAGGTATGGGCACAAAGGCATATACTTAGATGCATACAGGATTAGATGCAGTGTGCAATTCTAATTTTGATATTTCACTATTCAGTTATACAGTGCTATACCATGGTAAGTAATGAGATACTAGTATTTTGGTACAAATACCACTATTTCAGTATTTTAATAATGTCTGAAACACACCATATTTACATCTTGAGAGGATTAACAACTTATAATTTTTTTAAAAAACTTGCTTAACAAAAAACTCTTTTCCACAAATTTTAAAATTGTAAAAAAAAAAAAAAAAGAAAGAAGAAAGAAAAAAACACCCTCATTTAGAAAGCATTCTTTCATACTTTCATGATCCTCAAGAGAAGGAAGAAAACCAAAGAAAAAATAATTCCTATTTTAATCCTAGAGTTCAAATGAACACAAATGTGACTGTATTGAAATTGATACAGATACCTGCATCGGAATCTCCATCTATACATGATGAAACTAGAGAAGATGAAGATGCTTTCTTTGAAACAAAATCTACAGCTTGCTACCAAGAAAAAGACTGATGCCCCTGCAAAAAAACAAAAACAAAGTTGCTCAATAAGTTATCAAGCAAGAGATGAGATTATCTGAAGACAAAAGAGTCAGAAGAAAATGGTTACAATTTCCTCAGAACTGTCTCCTGGGCTCTACTAAAGTCAAAAAAAAAAAAGCTTTTTTAAAAGTTGTAAAAATGTGCACAAAAACATATATGCACTCAGACTGGGAGAGGTGGCTCATGCTTATAATCCCAACAATTTGGGAGGCACAGTGAGTAAGCGGATCACTTGACATCAGGAGCTTGAGACCAGCCTGGCTAAGATGGCAAAACCCCATCTCTACTAAAAATACAAGAATTAGCTGGGCATGGTGGCATGCCCCTGTAGTCCCAGCTACTCCAGAGGCTGAGGTTATGAGAATTGCATGAACCCAGGAGACAGAGGTTGCAGTGGTTGAGATCGCACCACTGCACTCTAGCCTGGGCAACTGAGACTCTCAAAAAAAAAAAAAAAAAAGTCTTTCCACCTCAGGTCGCCGCCGCCGCCATGTCTGCACATCCACAATGGATGGTCATGCGGAACTGTTCCAGTTTCCTGATCAAGAGGAACAAGCAGACCTACAGCACCGAGCCCAATAACTTGAAGGCCCGCAACTCCTTCCGCTACAACAGGCTGATTCACCGCAAGACTGTGGGCGTGGAGCCGGCAGCCGACCGCAAAGGTGTCGTGGTGGTCATGAAGCAGAGATCCGGCCAGCGGAAGCCTGCCACCTCCTATGTGCAGACCACCATCAACAAGAATGCTCGCGCCACGCTCAGCAGCATCAGACACAGGATACAAGAACAAGTGCCGGCCCGACCTGCGCATGGCAGCTATCCGCAGGGCTAGCGCCATCCTGCGCAGCCAGAAGCCTGTGATGGTGAAGAAGAAGTGGACCCGCCCCACCAAGAGCTCCTGAGCCCCCTGCTCCCAAAGCAATAAAGAGTCAGCTGGCCTTCTCAAAAAAATAAATAAATAAACCTGATTATAAAATTGTATTTTTGTTTTAATGCTTATTTTAATCAATTTTTTTTTTTTTTATTTGAGACAGAGTCTCACTCTGTCACCCAGGCTGGAGTGCAGTGGCGCTATCTTGGCTAATTGCAACCTCTGCCACCTGGGTTCAAGCGATTCTTCTGCCTCTGCATTCTGAGTAGCTGGGGTACAGGTGGGCACCACTGTGCACAGCTAATTTTTGTAGTTTTCAGTAGACATGGGTGTCACCATCTTGGCCAGGCTGCTCTTGAACTCCCAACCTTGTGATCTATCAGCCTTGGCCTCCCAAAGTGCTGGGTTTACAGACATGAGCCAGCATGCCCAGCTGAATGTTATTGTTTTGTAATGTATTTTTGCACCTTAAATTTATTAAATGTGTTTAGCTTCATTAATTTTGTTTTGTTTTTGAGACAGAGTTTTGCTCTTTTTGCCCAGGGTATAATGCAGTGGCATGATCTAGGCTCACTACAACCTCCATCTCTGAAGGTTCAAGCAATTCTCCTGCCTCAGCCTCTGGAGTACCTAGGATTACAGGCAGGTGCCACCATGCCCAGCTAATTTTTTTGTATTTTTGGTAGAGATGGGGTTTCATCATGTTGGCCAGGCTGGTCTAGGACTCCTGATCTCAGCTGATCCACCTGCCTTGGCATCTCAAAGTGCTGGGATTACAGGTGTGAGCCACCACACCCGGCCATATACTTTTTAAGACAGTGTCTCACTCTGTCACCTAGGCTGGAGAGCAGTGGCAGGATCTCTGCTCACTGAAATCTCTGCCTCCTGGGTTCAAATGATTCTCCTGCCTCAGCCTCCGGAGTAGCTGGGACTACAGGCGCCCACCACCACGCCCAGCTAATTTTTGTACTTTTAGTAGAGAGAGGGTTTTACCATGTTGGCAATGATGGTCTGGATCTCTTGACCTCGCGATCCACCTACCTTGACCTCCCAAAGTGCTGGGATTACAGGTGTGAGCCACCATGCCCAGCCTTCACTGATATTTTTAAATGAATTTTTTTGATGACAGAATATCACTAAATAAATTCAGTATTAATGCTCATATTACCTTCTCAGAAGGTAATTAGAGCAAGTGTCATTATAACTGATGCCCTCAATCTTAGCTGTAAAGAGGCTAGAATTAGGAGGCAAGACTGGGTAGAGTAGGACTGCAACTCAATGAAAATAGAAAAAAGTTTAAAATACTCTGTGGAAGGTGCTCTCACAGCTGAAACATAAATAAATATCAAAAACAGTAATGTAAAAATATGACAACCACAACTTTCACTGAGTCAGGTAATGTTTTTTTTTTTTTTGAGACGGAGTTTCGCTCTTGTTACAACCAGGCTGGAGTGCAATGGCGCGATCTCGGCTCACCGCAACCTCCGCCTCCTGGGTTCTGGCAATTCTCCTGCCTCAGCCTCCTGAGTAGCTGGGATTACAGGCATGCGCCACCATGCCCAGCTAATTTTTTGTATTTTTAGTAGAGACGGGGTTTCACCATGTTGACCAGGATGGTCTCGATCTCTTGACCTTGTGATCCACCCACCTCGGCCTCCCAAAGTGCTGGGATTACAGGCGTGAGCCACCGCGCCCGGCCCGAGTCAGGTAATGTTTTTGTGGCTTTATTAACAGTGCTATGTAACCACAGTCATTCTTCTTTGGACTTCCAGAATATTTAGTAAGGTATACATGACTTTTATTAAATCTGTCTCATCTCCCTCAACTAAAGGGACTTATGTTTCTTTTATTACATATTCTGCCCAGGGAGGGAATAAGAATAAGAAAAAAAAAAATGTATCGAGTAAGTCACTAGAAACATAAACTGCAGAAAAGATGGATCCAATAATAAACAGAACTTTTTATTATGGGTTTGTAAATTGGGAGTTAATCACGACTATAAGTTCTTATCACTTAGCAACTTTTTTTTTTTAAGCCTGATTATAAAGAAAAATACATACTCAATGTAGAATGCCCTGTTAGAAGTTCAGTCACCTTGCTTTTAGCACCCTATAAGATACAGATAGGTTTTTACAACGTATCTTCCACTTGATGCCTACCAACTGATGGGAGCTGCTCCTCCCTTCCATTTTCAGAAGCCCACTCTCACACGGTGGCATAAGAAAGGTTAAACTTTAATATCCTACCCTCTTAAAAGATCTACTGCATGTAGCTGCGAAGCAAATCTGTTGAAACTTACATATTCAGCAATGCTCAACTCTTGCTTAGGTGGCTGTTGAACTGTACTTTGATTATTTCTTACCTCCATCAGGTGAACAAAAAAAGCAAATGATATTTATATTACATAGCTTAGAAAACATGTCAAAGAAAAATCTTTCAGCATAGTGATGAGTACTGCAGATAGAAGAAGAGTTACATAAAAATATAATTAAAACAAGACAAGACCAGGCATGATGGCTCATGCCTATAATCCCACCACTTTGGCAGGCCAAGAGGGGAGAATCCCTTGAGCCCAGGATTTTTGAGAATAGGCTGGGCAGCATAGTGAGACCCTGCCTCTTAAAAAAAAGGAAGAAAACAAGACAATTATATTCTGCTATAATACAAAATTAGAATAATAAATAAATAAATGCCTAACTAAAATGAATCACCAAGAATATATGAAAATATTAAAGGGAAAAATCATATTATATTATACCTGCCCTTCCCTTCACACCCCCAGTTTTAAAGACAAGGATCCCTTTCCAGCTACTCAGAAGGCTGAGGCAGGAGGATGGCCTGAGTCCAGGAGCTGGAGGCTGCAATTAGCTGCTATAAGCTTTAAGAAGACTCTGTCTCTATAAAAAAATAAAAAAATAAATAAATAAATAAATAAATAAAAATTTAAAAGACAAGAATCCTTAAGACCACTTGAATATGTTCACCGGACACCGTCTGTACCACTGTGACCTTTATTTTACGTGGCTAGATTTTTCCTAGCTTCTTAAAAAGGATATTAGTAGCTCTTTATCTACCATTATTTCTATCTTAAAAATCCCAATGACTAAAACTTCAATGAAATACCTGCAAAATTACATATTCATAATCTCTCACACAATTAACTTAATCCAAAATAGTTACTCTTTTAAAATAAACATGATACTGGGGTAAATGACAAGGCTAAAAGATGAAAACTAAGAATTCAGTTCACGAATCAGCATTTCAGTTCAATTTCTGAAGTGGACACATCAGTGAGGATCAGCTGAGCCCAGGAGCAACAAGCAGGCCACTGTGAATGGCAGTCCCACACCTAAGCTCGTGGCTGGGGCCAACCGGGCAAGCAGAGGGAAAATGATGGAGAAGCCCACTCACCACTCTGCTTCCCACAAGTGGACTAAAGACTGGCTTCACATGTTAAATGACTCACACTTCTTGTACACCTCTGACATCACTGCATTTTATATCTCTGTTATCATGGAATATTTATTACTCATAAGTTCCAGTGCTTCGGATCTTTTCTTTTTCTCTCTTTTTAAAAATTCTTTACAAGAGTCCCTGAATTAACTACATAGTCAGCTAAAACTAAGCTGTCTAAACCAACACCAATCCAATAATGGTTACAATCACACTACATCCAGCAGATGATAAAAGCCTAGTTTTCTTTTTTTTTGAGACGGAGTTTCGCTCTTGTTACCCAGGCTGGAGTGCAATGCCCCGATCTTGGCTCACCGCAACCTCTGCCTCCCGGGTTCAGGCAATTCTCCTGCCTCAGCCTCCTGAGTCGCTGGGATTACAGGCACGTGCCACCATGCCCAGCTAATTTTTTGTATTTTTAGTAGAGACGGGGTTTCACCATGTTGACCAGGATGGTCTCCATCTCTTGACCTTGTGATCCGCCCGCCTTTGCCTCCCAAAGTGCTGGGATTACAGGCTTGAGCCACCGCGCCAGGCAAGCCTAGTTTTCTTAATTCCATCTAGTGGATCCCTTAGCAACTAAAAGAAAAAAAAAAGACTGGATAGATACTATTAAAAACAGTTTTGTTTTTTTTTTTTCTTCCTGGTTGAGTTGTTCTACAGCCAGTTTTTTCATAAACGTATTTAATAGCTGATTTAAACCTGGCATGCAAATACTTCAACCTAGTCTTAGAAAATTACTTAATAAATGCCAAGAACAGGCAAGCTCTTATGGAATAGACAAAGATGAGGAAGCCAGAGTCTCAAGACACCCAAAAGCTAGTTGGAGCAGATAAAACATGTACACAACTCATAAGAATCCAAAGCAGCAAGGTGTGTGTGTAAATTATGTCACAATACACACTATAAAGCTCCCTGAAAAAGGCAAAAGAGAAAGCTAGGCTCAAGATCAAAGAACATCAACATACAATCCAGTAAACCATTAAAATTCATTAATGAATTCAGTAAGTCAAAAAAGTAAGACACAATGAATGCTAATAAAACCTTGGTAAGGCACAGAAGTCCAGATTTTAATTCCGGTTCTGCTGAAAACTCGCTTCTAGCACTGTGACATTAACCATTCTTCCTTCCAAATCTAGGTTTCTCCATCCACAAATGGGAAATGGCACCTCCTCTATCTACTTAACAGGCTGTTATGAGGATGAAATCGGCTCACAGGATCTTCACTTCCCATTAACTTTAAATTCCAGTTGCCTTCTCATACCAGAATCTCCTCATAGGTAGTTATTCAACTTCTTCCTGAGTACTTCCAGTAAGAGGAACTTCATTATTTCTCAATATTGATTACTACATCTGGGACAGCACTGATTCTTGGAAATATCCTTGCCTAGTGAAACCAAGTTCACCCTCTCAGAAATTTCTATCCTTAGGTGTCACACAGAAAAACAACAGAAAACTGAAAAAGCCTAAGAAAGTAGCATGTAATGAAAACATAAAACATGAAGAAAATGCGCCAGTGTTACAGCTCATCAGCACTTAGGAGGCTGAGGCTGGAGAAGTGCTTGAGACCAGGAGTTTGAGATCAGACTGGGCAACGAAGTGAGACCTCCTCTCTACAAAAAAATAAACAAAAATTGGCCAGGTGCGGTGGCTCACATCTGTAAACCCAGCACTTTGGGAGGCGGAGATGGGCGGATCACGAGGTCAAGAGATCCAGACCATCCTTGCCAGCATGGTAAAACCCACTCTCTACTAAAAATACAAAAATTAGCTGTGTGTGGTGGCGAGAGCCTGTAGTCCCAGATACTCATGAGTCTAAGGCAGGAGAATCGCTTGAACCCGGGAGGCAAAAGTTGCAGTGAGCCCAGATCACGCCACTGCACGCCAGCCAGGCGACAGAGAGACTCCATCTCAAAAAAAAAAAAAAAAAAAATTTAGCCAGGCGTGTTAGCACACGCTGCCGTCTCAGCTACTCCGGAGTCTGAGATGGGAGGATCTATTAGATGTTGCAGTGAGCCATGATGGCGCCACGGCACTCCAGCCTGGGCGACAGAGGAGACCCTGTCTCAACAACAACAACAAAACAAAAAGAAAAGGAAAAAGGAGAAAGGAGAGGAAACGAAACGAAAATAAAAAGTCAGAGATAAATCACTCCTAACCAAGAAATTTCAGGGAAGGCTTCATAAAGAGTAGGTATCTGCTGGTTCTCGAAGATGGGAAGACTTCATCCTTAGCTTCAAGCTCAAGGTTTGTTTTTTTTTTTCTCTTTCTTTGAAAAGGTCATGTGTTAGGGAGAGGCTGGCAAGAGAGCACAAGGCCTGCTCCAAAGGGTTCTTGAAGCACATTCTTTTTTGCAGATGAGCATATCCCTTTAGCATATTGAGCAACAAAGCCACCCGTAAAAAGTGTGGAGGTGAGCTGGAGCCAGATCAGGTGAAACATCACTGTGAGCATCACTCCCCTAAAAAAGGCTGGACTGAAAGCAGTAGAGGCAACTCACTGAAGACTTCTGACAAGATGGCCGAATTCAATAAGAGTAGTTACGTGGAGATGGGCAGGATATGGCCTGGGAGGGGGTGGGGGTTTGAGTGCCACACTGGCCAGGATTCAGGGAGCAGATACTGGAAATGATGAGAGAGCCCAGGACTGGGAGAGGGGAGAAATGTTCAAACGCTGCAAGTGCCTAAGGACTGATTCTATTAACAGATTAAAAAGTTACAGTGTCTATTCGGTGAAGGACAAACAAAATTCGGGACTCTGGTTTACTTTGAAGTGTAGTTTCGGCATCCCACAACGCTGCAGCACTCCGTACTGCCCAAGACTCATTCCTCCGCGTTCCTTAAGGCTACTTCCTGCTAACCAAAGCACGTTTAAAAAAGTGAGTTATGGTTCCTAATCCGTATTTATTTGACAAAAAGCACGGGCAGTGCCAGGGTTGAATTTGGGTAAGCAGTCTGGGATAAGCTATTTCAACAATGAAATGGCCGATGTGATGATCCTCAGGGAATACAAAAAGCCTCCCAGCAGCCATCCGTTAAAAACTTTCTGCTAGGTATGAGTCTTTCCAGCTACTCTAAAGCCACATCTGATCAGTATGAGATGCCCATGCCTGAGCAGCATCTTGGTCCTCCGGAGATCAAGGTTTACAGAGGGCTCCTGCTGGACTCTCCGTCTCCCTTTACCTAAAGGAGCCGGCAAGCCCAGGCCTCACCGGAAAAGGCCGCAGCCGACCTCCCTCCAACCCGAGCGCAGGGGTCGGGCTCCCCTCCCCCAGCCGGGACCGGCAGAGGGCGGCGCTCTCGGAGGCCTGGAGCCTGGTACCCGGCACAGCCCGCCACGCAGCCTCGCCCACCCCATCCCCGGCCGCCCCGGCCGCCCCGTCCCGGCCCCGCCCGGCCGGCTCACCTCAACCCGGGCAGGCTCGGGGCCCTGTACGGCCACCGGCTGCGGCTGCAGCTGCTGGGCAGGCGCCGGCGGGTCTTTGTTCCGGTGGCTAAGGTCTTCATCCGGGCCGGCCCGGACCCCAGCCGGGGCCCACAGCAGCGGAACCAGCAAGAGCAGAAGCAGCCTGGGCGCCGATGCGCGGCCGTTCCCCCGGGCCGCGGCCGCCATCCCCCCTAGCCGGGCCGGCCGCGCACGGGCGCCGCAGGAGGAAGTGCCGGCGAAGGGAAGCCTCGACCCCGAACAGCGTCCGCGGCGCGCCCTCACGCCTCGCCGCCGCCGCTCAGGAGGCAGTCAGCACCATCCGGGAGGTGCGAGCGGCGGGAGTGAGGCGAGGGGCAGGCCGAGTTCCGCAGCCCCAGCTCGGCGCTCGTCCTCTCCGGCGGCGGCCACAGTGGAGTCAGCCAACCGCCTCGGCGCGGCCCAGCCCCGACTCCTGCTGGCCCCGACCCTGCCAGCGACGGCCTCCCATTGGCCCGGCGTCCGCCTCGGCGTCGTGACGTCCTTGGCCAGGTTGAGGTGCGGCGCGCGCCCTTTTCCCATTGGAGCTGGCGCTCCCGGCAGGTACCCGGCGCCGCGTGCTCTTCCTCTGCTCGCATCTTACCCGCGCGGCGCCCGCGGCCCCCTTTTTCTCTCTTTGCCTCACAGTCCCCGGACTGCGGGGCCCCTCACTTCTGCTTCCCCCTGAGCCTTCCGCCCTAATGTCCGCACCCGCTCTTCCCTGCGCTTAGCCTCTCTTAGAGGTCAAATTAGTGCGAGCGCTTCTGGTTACGTGGCGCTGGCTCGCGGGAACCGTCACACCCAGCTCTGTTTCGCTCTCCCCCGCGGAGCCTTGGTGCCACCCTCCACGTGGCCACCTACCGCCAAAAACGTTCCTAGGAGCTCAAAATGCTATTTTAAAGCTCTGAAATGGGATTTGGAAATAACATAATTATTTTTCAAGTCTTATTTTAAGGTACTTCCTATAATTACCCCAGACCAAAAACGGCCGACGTTGCCCTCGCCCAGTACGGCTTTTAAGTTTTGGGTGCACCTTGTTTTGTGCTATACCTTAGACTGACCCCTTAAAAATGCTGGGCTTTTGAAACAGACTGCTTAAGACTTTTGCAGGACGGAGCTTTGGGTGGACAATACTAGAAGACAGGAAAGAATGGTTAGGCTTGAGAATATTTTTACATCTTCCCAAAGGAAAAAGTGAGCTGCTTAATTACCATAAGTTTAACTGAGACCTAGTCTCTAATAAAAATCAATAGTGTTAACCATGTGCCAGGCACTAATCTAATGTTACACATATTTACGGTAAACCTGTGCTCAGTAAAGAGCTAAGGAAGTTTATCACTACCTGAAACAAAAAACTAATTCACCAAAACAATCTGTGGGAAAGTGGGCAAACCTACTTTGAGTTCACTGAAGATACCGTGCTTGTCATAGGATAATAAAATTTCGGTCCATGTTGTTCTGTCCGTAATTCCCCTTACTCCATTCATTCCTTGTAAACTCCTACTCATACTTCCAGAACCTATTCAGCCCTCCTCTCTCAGAATTTTAACCCCACACACTTCCCATTACAGAATTTGTCACTTGTTCCTTCATGTTATAACTTATGCATGCTTCTGTTACTGTATAAAATGTCTCCACACAGTTTGGAGTGTGTTAAAAGAAAAACCTTAGACAAACTTGGTTTAATCAAGCGAAAAACCCAAAGAACGATTTGGAAATCAAAAAGACCCCAAACCAAAGTAAGTTCAGAGAGACTCCAGTCTTGCTGAGTGGTCAAAGACTTATAGACAGAAAAAATAAAGTGACTTACAGAAAACATAAGTGAGGTACAGAAACAGCTAGATTGGTTATGGTTCGGGTTTGCCTTATTTGAACAAGGTTTGAACAGTTGGCCACTTGTGATTGGCCAAAACTCTGTGATTGGTACAAGAATAGTTTACAGTCTGTTTACACACCCAGTTAGGCTACAGTTCACTATGTATGGGGAAACCTTTAGGCTGAGCTTAAAATATGTAAAAAGGCCGCTTTACGCTAAATTTAACAGGTGCAACTATCATCCCTGGAATGCAAATGTTTGAGCTTTCATAAGCCAGTAATAGCATAAAACCCAGAAGTCCAAACTCCTTCAGTTACCTCCCCTTAATGCATACAGGATTTGCTGTGCTTAAGAGGGGCCTGAAAGGGAGGCTTGAGGTCCCAAGGGAGGGACCTGAAAGGAGCAGCTCAGGCTAAAGACGGAGACAGAAGGGTGAATGTAGCAATATTGGCTGTGTGTCCCTTATTGCTGAAAGCTGCTTGGTTTATTTTCTAGGATGGGCTGCCCACACTCCAAGGCTCTCTCACAGGAAGGACTCCTGGCCAAATTTGGTCACCTCAATGTGTGAGGCAGTGAGGACTTCTGGGCTACAGCTGCAGGATGCTGAAGCACTAGCTGCTGAGCCTGCAGTGGCTCAGGGGCAAGGCAGCAATGCTGTTTGGCAGAAGATGTGATGTAAATGGAGTTAAAGCTTTGGCCCCACAGAGCAACTGGCACAGTGGTGTCAGCAAAGCATCAGAATCTGGGCCAGAGTGGGACCTTTCCAGCCTGCCCCGGTGTCACCCTGATCCAAGGCCCTCAGGCACTAACAGGCGAGTCTCTAGATGTCCAGATTCTCACTGGATCCAGTATTTCTGTTTCCACATACATCTACCTCCTGGGGTTTGTGCTCAGTCATGCTGAGTCAAGGCTGGTTCCAGCTTTCACTACCTTGAGAGGTCAGAGCCATCATCCTTCTAGTCCTCATAGGTGACTAACTTTTAAAAAGAAATAGCAGGCTGGCTGAGGTCAGGCTGGCTGCGGTGGCTCACGCCTGTGATCCCAGCACTTTTGGAGGCCAAGGCGGGCGGATCACCTGTGGTTGGGAGTTCGAGACCAGCATGACCAACATGGAGGAAAGCCCATCTCTACTAAAAATACAAAATTAGCTGGACACTGTGGCAGGCTCCTGTAATCTCAGCTACTCAGGTGGCTGAGGCAGGAGAATCACTTGAACCCTGGAGGCAGAGGTTGCAGTGAGCTGAGATCATGCCATTGCACTCCAGCCTGGGCAACAAGAGCAAAAAAAGGCCGGGCACAGTGGTTTACACCAGTAATCTTTGGGAGTCCTAGGCAGGCGGATCATGAGGTCAGGAGTTCAAGACCAGCCTGGCCAACATAGTGAAACCCTGTTTCTACTAAAATTACAAAAAGTCTGCAGACATGGTGGCACACACCTGTAGTCCCAGCTACTCGGGAGGCTGAGGCAGGAGAATCGCTTGAACCTGGGAGGTGGAGGTTGCAGTGAGCCAAGACCACGCCATTGCACTCCAGCCAGGGTGACAAAGTGAGACTCCATCTCAAAAGAAAACAAAAACAAAACAAACAACATAGGAGCTTTCCTGATACCTTTCTTAAAGAACAACTGAAGCTACCTATTTAACCCCCTACCCAATAAGGATGTGGGAGGCTCAAAAATTCAAAGATAATTTTTTTTTTTTATCATAGCCTACAGATATATAGTCTTACTGTCAGGTATCCTATGCTAAGAAACCCTATTATATGTGCATTATACTGTATTTTTAAAATTTATTTATTTGAGATGGAGTCTTGCTTTGTTGCCCAGGCTGGAGTGCAGTGGCATGATCTCAGCTCTCTGCAACCTCTGCCTCCCGGGTTCAAGTGATTCTTCTGCCTCAGCCTCCTGAGTAGCTTGGATTACAGGCATGCACCATGTCCGGCTAATTTTTTATATTTTTAGTAAAGACTGAGTTTCACAATGTTAGCCAGGATGGTCTTGATCTCCTGACCTCGTGATGTGCCCGCCTCGGCCTCCCAAAGTGCTAGGATTACAGGCGTGAGCTGTGCGCCCGGCCTGTATTTTTTTTTAATTATTTTCTTATTTATTTATTTTGAGATAGAGCCTTGCTCTGTCACCCAGGCTAGAGCGCAGTGGTGCAATCTCGGCTCACTGCAACCTCCACCTCCCAGGTTCAAGCGATTCTCTAGCCTCAACCTCCCATCTAGCTGAGACTATAGGTGCATGCCACCATGCCTGGCTAATTTTTTATTTTTAGTAGGGGTGGGGTTTCACCATGTTGGCCATGCTGGTCTCAAACTCCTGACCTTAATTGACCCACCCACCTTGACCAACCAAAGTGCTGAGATTACAGGTGTGAGCCACCTCGCTCAGCCTGCACTGTGTTTTAATGTCTTTTATTCCAACATCCTTAACGGTGCCTTAAGCTTCTAGATGGTAAGGTTATGCCTTTTATCTTTATATTCCTAGCACGTAGTAGATTATATAACAAGGTAATGGGAATAGTTATTAAAGTAGTAGTAAAACTTTATTGAATGCTATTCTGATCCAGCCAGAGCACTGCGTTACATAAATTATCTCTATCCTCCTTTTTGCAAATGAGAGATTTGAGACTTTCCCCAAATTACATAGCTAGTAAATAGCAGAATTATGCTTCATGTCTGTTTGTTGAATTAACCTATGCCCCTCTTACTGAAAATCTACTTTATGAAAATTTAAACATACAAAACCAGCCAACTGGCCAGGTGCAGTGGCTCACTCCTATAATCCCAGCACTTTGGAAGGCCGAGTGAGGCAGGTGGATCACCTGAGGTTAGGAGTTCGAGACTAGCCTGGCCAACATAGTGAAACCCCGTCTCTACTAAAAATACAAAAAGTTAGCCAGACGTGGTGGCACGTGCCTGTAGTACCAGCTACTCGGGAGGCTGAGGCAGGAGAATCACTTGAACCCGGGAGGCGGAAGTTGCAGTGAGCCGAGATTGCACTACTGTACTCCAGCCTTGGCAACAGAGGGAGGCTCCATCTCAAATAAATAAATAAATAAATATTAAAAAATAAAACCATCCAATTAACTAATGGTGAACACTTTCATTAACTGTTAGAGAATGCTGTTTCTCCACTATAGGGTTCTATGAAAAGAACTATTTCCTGACCTCTCTCAGTGCTTTCGTTCCCCCTCTGATGATGTAGAGTCCATCTGAGCAGGGTAACTGGGCACATTGGGCTCAGCTGCATTGCCCTCTTCCTCTGGGGAGACAGACTCCAAAGGGAAAAACATTATCTGCTGTTCTCTACGGGGCCTGCCCCTAGCCCAGTGCTGCCTGCAACTGGGTAGGAATGGCTCTAGATTCTGGACTTCAGTATTACCCCAGCCCACCTGGCCACCAGACCTAAAATTATTCCTTCTAACCTGGCCTCCTGTCTGTCTCACTCTCTGTTTTCATCCTCAATGTTTCAGAAATAGGGAGAGGTGAGCTATTTCCTGAGCTCCATTGGAGAATGCTCCTTCCCCCAAATCAGAAAGGGGCAGATTAAAGTTTTTTGCCTTAAGCAGTGCACAGAGTAAAGGTTGGTTAGAGAAGCCAGGGCAGGGAGATATGAGGAAAGAGAAGGAGAAGCAGAAACCAGAAACTTCACACTAACAGTCAGCTGAAGATCATTCACTTTTAAAGCACTCAGGCTGAATGCAGTGGCTTACACCTATAATCCCAGCACTTTGGAATGCCAAGGCAGGCGGATCACCTGAGGTCAGGAGTTTAAGACCAGCCTAACCAATACGGTGAAACACCATCTCTACTAAACATACAAAAATTACCTGGGTGTGATGGCTTGTGCCTATAGTCCCAGCTACTTGGGAGGCTGAG